CCACCTCGCCCGGCTAGTTTTTTGTATTTTTTAGTAGAGACGGGGTTTCACCGTGTTAGCCAGGATGGTCTCGATCTCCTGACCTCGTGATCCACCATTCTCGGCCTCCCAAAGTGCTGGGATTACAGGCTTGAGCCACCGCACCCAGCCTCATTTTTTTTTTTTCCCAGACAGGGTCTTACTCTCTTTTCCAGGCTGGAGCACAGTGGTGCGATCATAGCTTACTGCAACCTTGATCTCCAGGGCTCAAATGATCCTCCCACCTCAGCTTCCCGAGTATGCCCACCTAATTTTTGTATTTTTTTGTAGAGATGGGGTCTTGCTATGTTGCCCAGGCTGGTCTTGAACTCCTGTCCTGAAGCAATCCTCCCTCCTCAGCCTCCCAAAGTATTGGGAATACAGGCATGAGCCACAGCACCACGCCCCTCAATTTATTTCAACACTGGGTGTGCCTACCATGTGCAAGGACCTGACCCCTTGCTTCTCTGTACCTGTATCCGTCCCACGGCTGTGTAATTGACAGAAACAGCCTGCCAGTTGGGCCCAGGTTGTCCTGAGAAGAGAGTGTGTTTCCGGATGCTCCCTGTAGTGAAAGGAATCGGAGGGAGAAGTGAGCTTAAGGGGACTGGGAAATGACTTTGAACTATACCCAGGAGGATGAGGAGCAGAGGGTATAGTTGGGGATCATTACCGCCAAATGAAAGCACAATCTTCTTTTTTATTTTATTTATTTATCATTATTATTTTTTGAGATGGAGTCTTGCTCTGTTGCCCAGGCCGGAGTGCAGTGGCACTATCCTGGCTCACTGCAACTTCTGTCTCCTAGGTTCAAGCGATTCTCTTACCTCAGCCCCAGCCTCTTGAGTAGCTGAGATTACAGGAGTGTGCCACAACACCTGGTTAATTTTTGTATTTTTAGTAGAGACAAGGTTTCTCGATGTTGGCCAGGCTGGTCTCAAACTCCTGACCTCAAGTGATCCACCAGCCTCAGCCTCCCAAAGTGCAGGATTACAGGCGTAAGTCACCGTGCCAGGCCAGCACAACCTTCTTTTTTATTTGAGACGGAGTCTCACTCTGTCGCCAGGCTGGAGTGCAGTGGCACGATCTCAGCTCACTGCAACCTCCGCCTCCCAGGTTCAAGCGATTCTCCTGCCTCAGCCTCCTGTGTAGCTGGGACTACAGGCAGCTAATTTTTGTATTTTTAGTAGAGACAGGATTTCACCATGTTGGCCAGGATGGTCTCGATCTCCTGACCTCGTGATCTGCCCACCTTGGCCTCCCAAAGAGCCCTCCCAGCCATGATTTCCACTTCATGGAATAATCTCACACATATTCCAGACTTCCTTAGACCCTGAGGGATGCCCCATGTTTCCCCATCAAGCCAACCCTGGGAGATGCGCCCAGTCAGTGTAAATCCCGTGAATTCTCCGCTCTAACCCAAGACGGAAGCATAAACGTGGAGGGCTGCACCAGGAGACTGGCCCCGGAGGACGTAGTGGAAGGAAAAGCTCAGACAGCCGGAGGACGGGCTCACGGGACTCAGAAGGACGGCTTTCTGCCCGGGTCTTGCATTCTTGGGGTCCAGGAGCATGTAGTGGCCACCTGTGAAGCAAAAGGCCAGGGAATTGAGGTGGATGGAATTGAGGGAAGATGGCAGCAGAGATAGGGCCCTGAGGAGGCTGGGGACTTGTCCCTGGGGAGCCCCAACAGCAGCCTGGAATCAGGCAGTGCCAATGTAGTCCTATGCCAACTGACTGAGGTCTTTGACTTTCCCAGAAATACTTGGGCTGGGTAAGGACCCGGCGCTGCCATGGGAAACGCCAGACACCTTCTCCAAAGCAGCAACTAGAACTTTGTCCTTTGTGTGTTAACTCTTTTTTGTTGTTGTTGTTGTTTTGTTTTTGTTTTTGAGACAGTCTCACTCTGTTGCCCAGGCTGGAGTGCAGTGGCGCAATCATGGCTCTCATGGTTCACTGCAGACTCAACCTCCACGGGCTCAGGTGGTCCTCCCGCCTCAGCCTCCTTAAGTAGCTGGGACTACAGGTGTGCGCCACCAAGCCCTGCTAATTTTTCTATTTTTTTTTTTAAAGATGGGGTTTCCCCACATTGCCCAGGCTGGTCTTGAACTCCTAGGCTCAAATGATCCACCCACCTTGGCTTCCCAAGGGGTTACAGTCATGAGCCATCACGTCTGGCCTGGGTGCTAACTCTTAAGGTCCACTAGAGTCATAGCCTGTTCCTTTTTTTCTTTTTTCTTTTCTGAGACAGGGTATGGCTCTGTTGTCCAGGCTAAAGTGTAGTGGCATAGGTCTCAAACTCCTGGGCTCAAGCAATCCTCTTGCCACAGCCTCCCGAGTAGCTGGGACTCCAGGTGCACACCACTATGCCCAGCTAATTTTTTTTTTTTAAGAGATGGGGTCTCACTATGTTGCCCAGGCGGGTCTTGGTCTCCTGGCCTCAAGCAATCCTCCTGCCTTGGCCTCCCAAAGTGCTCAAGTACAGGCTTGAGCCACTACACCTGGTTGCCTCTTCCTTTTCTTTACCCGCTGGACATAACCTATTCATACAAACTGGTGAGAGTCACAGCGGCTCTGACACAGACCAGCAAGCGGCAAACCCCCTCTCACCCAACACCACCTCGGCCCCCAGCTCAGACAGCCAATCAGCGTGGACCTCGCCAGGTGACGCAACTGGTAGCGAAGAGGAAAATGTAAGCGGCTGCCAACTCGTGGGGAGCGCGCTCGCGTGCGTGCTCGCGCCCGAGTCCCAGGGAGTCACGCCTGGCGCGCGCTCGGTCCTGCCTGGTGCGCGCTCACTCCTGCGGAAGGTGTGATCCTGAGCGGCGACGAAGAGGCTGGAATGGCGGGAATGGGCAGGAGGAAGGAGAGAAAGGAAACAACCGGGAAGGAAGAGGGAAGGGAAAGGAAAGGAAGTGGGGAAATGGTGAAAGAGAAATCAAGGAGACGGGCTGGCGCAGTGGCTCACGCCTGTAATCCCAGCACTTTGGGAGACCGAGGCGGGCGGATCACCTGAGGTCAGGAGTTCGAGACCAGCCTGGCCAACAAGGGAAACCCCATCTCTACTAAAAATACCAAAATTAATTGGGCATGGTGGTGCACACCTGTAGTCCCAGTTACTCAGGAGGCTGAAGTAGGAGAATCAATTGAATCTGGGCGGTAGAGGTTGCTGTGAGCTGAGATCAAGTCACTGTACTCCAGCCTGGGAGACAGAGTGAGACTCTGTCTCAGAAATAAATAAATAAATAATTGGTAACTCACGGCTGAGTGCAGTGGCTCACGCCTGTAATTCCGGCACTTTGGGAGGCCGAGGCAGGTGGATCACCTGAGGTCCGGCGTTCAAGACCAGCCTGGCCAACATGTGAAACCCCGTCTCTACTAAAAATACAAAAATTAGCCGAGTGTGGTGGCGGGCACCTGTAATCCCAGCTACTCGGGAGGCTGAGGCAGGAGAATCGCTTGAACTCGGGAGACAGAGGTTGCAGTGAGCTGAGATCGCGCCACCGCACTCCAGCCTGGGCAACAGAACGAGACTCTGTATCCAAAAAAAAAAAAAAAAGAAAAAGAAAATAAAATCGAGGAGACCTATGAGAAACAGAAGAGGAGAAATGGGAGAAAAAAAAAGTGAAAGGCGAAGAAAATATAAGGAAGTGAGCAAGATGGAAATGGAAAGGGAGAAAAAGGAAAAATAAAAAGCCAAAAGGCCAGCCAGCATTTACTGAAGCTCCTGGGCACAGTCCACAGTACATAATTTTAAAATGCTGAGGGGTGGCAGAGAGGGCTGGCCGGCTTCCAGCGAAGGTGGGGCCAGGGCTTCTTAAGACCTTATTTATTTATTTATTTACTTATTTATTTTTATTGAGACGGAGTCTCACTCTGTTGTCCAGGCTGGAGTGCAGTGGCACCATCTCCGCCTCCCAAGTTCAAGCAATTCTCCTGCTTCAGCCTCCTGAGTAGCTGGGATTACAGGATTACAGGCGCACACCACCACGCCCAGCTAATTTTTTGTATTTGTAGTAGAGACAGGGTTTTGCTATGTTGGCCAGGCTGGTCTCAAACTCCTGACCTCAGGTGATCTGCCTGCCTCCACCTCCCAAAGTGCTGGGATTACAGGCGTAAGCTACCACACCTGGCCAGAGCCCTTCTAGAAGACAAAGTTTAGGCAGCAGGAAAGATCAGAGACAGGAGGGCAGGAGTCAGAGTGGACACTAATGGAGTGGAGAGAGGAAAATATGGGGAAGAACAGAAAAGAAAATATGGCAGAGGCAAGAGGATCACTTGAGGCCAGGAGTCCAAGACCAGCCTGGGCAACATAGCAAGACCCCATCTTTACAAATAAAGAAAATAAAAGAAAATGTGGAAATGGTAAGGTGGAAGGGAGGAAACAGATTGAGGAAGAAGAAATATTAAGGGAAAAAGAAGAACAAAGAGATATAGGCCGGGCATGACAGCTCACACCTGTACTTCAAGCACTTTCAGAGACCGAGGCAGGAGGATGGCTTGAGGCCCAGAGTTTGAGACCAGCCTGGGCAATGTAGCAAGACCCCATCCCTATTTTTATTTATTTATTTATTTATTTATTTTGAGACACAATCTCACTCTGTTGCCCAGGCTGGAGTACAGTGGTGCGATCACAGCTCACTGCAACCTCCACTTCCCAGGCTCAGGTGATCCTCCCACGTCAGCCTCCCGAGTATCTGGGACTACAGGTGTGTGCCACCACGCTGGGCTAATTTTTGTATTTTTTGTAGAGACAAGATCTCACTATTTGTCCCAGGCTGGTCTTGAACTCCTGGCCTCAAGTGATCTGCCCACCTCGGCCTCCCAAAGTTCTGGGATTACAGGCCATGAGCTACTGCACCTGGCTTAGTTTTTAAAAACATTTTTTTAAATTCAAAATTAAGAAGTGTAAACTCAGAAAGGAAATTAGGGAGCAGAGCCCTCTGTGCTTGACCTCTTGAGTGAGGGGTTGAAATGTGGGCTGTGTGGAGAAGATTGAGAGAGAAAGTGAATGTTGTGTGAGAGAGAAAAGGAAGAAGTCAACAGTAGAAAGAGAAAGAAGCTCAGCTGCGAGCACAGGGAGGTATTGGAAAGAAGCTAGGGATAGACTAGGGTGTACAGAAAGAAAGAATATCAGCCAGGCACAGTGACCCATGCCTGTAATCCCAGCATTTTGGGAGGCCAAGGTGGGTGGATCACGAGGTCAGAAGATTGAGACCGCCCTGACCAACATGATGAAACCCCATCTTTACTAAAAATACAAAAATTAGCCAGGCATGGTGACACATGCCTGTAATCCCAGCTACTCGGGAGGCTGTGGCAGGAGAATCGCTTAAACCCAGAAGGCAGAGGTTGCAGTGAGTCGAGATCGTACCACTGCACTCCAGCCTGGCGACAGAGCAAGATTCCGTCTCAAAAAAAAAAAAAGAAAGAAAGAATATCGCCTGGATTTTTGCAAAAGACTCCTAAACAGCCTCTCTGTATCCACCTTGCCTGTTCTCAGTGGATTTGCAACACAAAAAAATCCTTTAAAAATAAGTCAGATCAAATAATTGCTCAAAATCCTGCAAAAGCTCCCCATTCACATAGAACAGAAAAGCCACAGTCCTGACAATGGCCTTTAAGGCTCTATGTGATCTGCCTCTCCTGTGGATCTCAGGTCACCCTCTTCATCCCGGCCACATGGCTGTTTGCTGTACCTTGATCCCCTCCTTCCCTGACAGCCCCACTGCTACCTCAGGACCTTCGCACAGCTGGCCCCTCAGCCTGGAATGTCCTTCTCTACCCCTGATAATTTTCAGGCCTTACTCCCTCACCTTTTTCAAGTTCGTGCTCAAATGTGTCCTAAATGTGACCTACTCTGACCAGCCCATTTAAAATTGATAACTCGCACGGGCACAGTGGCTCAACGCCTATAATCCCAGCACTTTGGGAGGCCGAGGTGGATGGATCACCTGAGGTCAGGAGTTCGAGACCAGCCTGGCCAACATAGGGAAACCCCATCTCTACTAAAAATACAAAAATTAGTTGGGCATGGTGGTACACACCTGTAGTCCCAGTTACTCAGGAGGCTGAAGTAGGAGAATCAATTGAACCTGGGCGGCAGAGGTTGCAGTGAGCTGAGATCAAGTCACTGCACTCCAGCCTGGGAGATAGAGCGAGACTCTGTCTCAGAAATAAATAAATAAATAATTGATAACTCACGGCTGGGTTCAGTGTCTCATGCCTGTAATCCCAGCACTTTGGGAGGCCGAAGTGGACATATCACTTGAGGTGATCCTCCCGTCTCACCTTCCCAAAGTGCTGGGATTACAGGCGTGAGCCAGTGCACTTGGCTCCAAACTTGTTCAACTTTTTATTTTCCCAGTGGCACTGCTCACTTTATAACTATATTTACTTTGTTTAGGTAACTGTCCCCCACTACCCCACCCTACTCTTCCTTGTCTGTTTTGTACACTGGGGTATCTCAAGTGCCTAGGACAGCAGCTGGCATATTGTAGGTGCTCAGTATTTCTTGAATGAATGAAGAATGAAAGGGGCCAGAAGCAATGACTCATGCCTGTAATCCCAGCATTTGGGAGGCTGAGGCAGGTGGATCACTTGAGGTCAGGAGTTCGAGACCAGCCTGGCCAACATGGTGAAACCCTGTCTCTACCAAAACTACAAAAATTATCCGGGTGTGGTGGTGCATGCCTGTAGTCCCAGCTACTCGGGAGGTTGAGGCAGGAGAATTGCTTAAACCTAGGAGGCAGAGGTTGCAGTGAGCAGAGATCACACCACTGCACTCCAGACTGGGTGATAGAATGAGACTCTGCCTCAAAAAAAAAAAAAAAGAAAAAAGAAAGGTGCCAGAGAAAGGAGATGAGGAGCTGGCTGTATTCGGTGTGCCAGGTAGAGCTTGTAGGGCGATGGTGGGGGAGGCTGGCTGGGTTCTTGAAATCAGCTTCCTGCGTGAAACTTGAGCTGATAAGAGGCTTGAAGCTGTAGGTGTTCATGCCAGACCGTCCCAGGGCAATTACAGTAGGGTGCGTGGTGCCCAGAAAGTCAACGGACAGAAGCAACGGACAGTAGCTACTCACTACCAGGGCTAGAGAAGTCGCCATCAGGCCCCACGCCTGGCTTTCCCGACGACCCTTTCTTCTGAGTCCACTTGGCCCCGGAGGCAGTTGGGATCCAGGTCCAGTCACAGAGGTCATTTGGAATGTCAAAGCTGCATGTTTGCATCATACAGACTGAGAGGAAAGAAAGAAGGGAAGATATAATATTTTCTTCTTTTTTAGAGACAGGGTCTCTGTCACCCAGGCTAAGAGTACAGTGGTGTAATCATAGCTCACTGCAGCCTCGAACTCCTGGACTCAAGCAGTCCTCCCACCTCAGTCTCTTGAGTAGCTAAGACTACAGGTGGCACCACCACGCCCAGCTAATTTTTTTTTTTTTTTTTGAGACGGAGTCTCGCTCTGTCGCCCAGGCTGGAGTGCAGTGGCCGGATCTCAGCTCACTGCAAGCTCCGCCTC